TTTATACTCTCTCGTTTCAGCTCTGAAGACATTGGGGAGTACTTGCATATGCATCTCTTTTCCTTCATTTTATCATTTGGTAGTATGTCTGCAGTCAGAATGTTGAAAATTTAGGTTTAAATATTAATATAGTATTTACAAATCCTGTATCTCCTAGTCTAACCGAGAACATTAGTGTAGGTGTCAAATGCATTTCTTAAACAAGTCAATAAAGTCATAGTCTCTTCCAGAAGTGAGGAGATTTCCAATAACAGTAGTAGGTCAGACAAGAGGCCTGTACAGTCCACTATCCCATGTGACAGTGGGCAGAAATGGCTGAGAGAGCAATGTGAACAGGGCAAGTGTCTAGGAGCACACTGTCATTACAGGAGAAAGTGCTGGGTTTAGAAAGCATTATTCCAGAGAGAAGGATGGTCTTTGAAGGGTCCGGTTAGGGCATCCTATTCGGCTTATTTTGGGACTTCATAGATCTTTATGACTTAAAAATAAACCTTGATGGTCTTTCGCATCCACTTTCTGTGGGATCTGCTTTGCAGGTGCCTAAAGGACACCTGAGATTCTTCTCCAGCCTCAAAATTGGCATCTCTGTGGAGTAAATGTGTAGTTCTGGAAGTTGTCTGCTCTTGCTGTTTTATTAAGCCTCTACTGTATCATACAGTCCCAAATCCTTCTGCTCACCACTGCATTCCGGGTCTGTAATGAGTGGGTGTGTCATTTCTCGCCTTTCCCTCATGAGCGCTGGCTCAGTATTTCAGGCTTTCACTGCTCACCTCGTGCTTCTGCCACATGGTGGGTCCTGCTTGCCTCAGTTTTCTCTGTCATGTATTCATGTATCCATATTCAGAAGTTGCAGTTCAGCCTTGGAGGAAGAAGTAGCAGCAGCAACAGCTCCATTAACTGTGGTACTTTCTATTTCCTTTTCACAAAAATCACCTAAGTCATGTCAGTGACCTGCAGTTGCAGCAATTCTTTCACTGCAGTTTCCTTTCTTCAGACTTCTGTGATCAGGCAGAACTGCTAGTGCAGGTAGATTTGTGTTGAACATAGGTTGAGATTACTGCAAGTTCCATTCATTTAAACTGCCTTTTGCATTCCAGAGATCCTTTTAGGATGTTGCTTTACCAAGATGTCTTTTCCTGTCAGCTGTAGGTGACAATAAAATACAGCTTTTTCCTGGCTCCATAAAGGAGTGGAGGCTATCCATGCTACTAGCTTGCTTAGCTGCTGACACCTGCTGAATTATACCCTAGATACATATGTGCTTTGCTTTTTGTTATGTATTCTGTGGAGAAGTTTCTTATTGAAGGAATGGGTAATTCCACCACTGCCCACTCTGTCAAGCAAAAGGACCAATCTAGTATGCAAAAGAAGATTTTCTTCACTGTGTTGGGCACTTTTGTTTAATGTAGGAAATGTGGTTTAGTGGCATTGGAAGAGCAAAGTCACTGCCCAGGAAGTCAGGTGAAACAGGTGTGTGCATGAGCAGTAGTCACGTCGTGCCTGGGCTGGAATTCTCTCTCCTCGTGCTGGGAATGGCTGTGCAAGACATTTTCCTGTTGGCAGTACGCATGGGAGAGCTTCTAGAAGTTGTGCTTCTGCTGACAGATGTGATCAAGCCTATGGAAGACAGATTTCCAGGGAAATACCAGAGCAGGCCCCAGAAGTAAGGAATCTGGCAGTTATTTCTCATCTGACTTTACTGCTTGGAGGTGTTCAGACTTTGATGCTAACGATGAATGAGAAGTGATAGGTCTTCAACTGAATGGGGCACTGCTTTGTTTGGCATATTTTTTTATTCCATGGTCAATACACTTCCCCAAGTTAGACCTCTGCCAGGAAGCACACAGCTAATGTACTTACTTGTGACACACTTGCTTTCAGCTCTTCATTCAAGTGGGAGAGCCTCTGGAAATACCCCTTTGCTCTACAGCCTTTGTACTGAGAATGTGCACTCTGAGTGTTCAGCCCTTCAGAAATGGATGCTCAGGGACTTTTTCTTGGCAGTGTGGCAAGCAGCTTTTCCATTATAAGGGACACCATAATTTACCGTAGAAAAATACTTAGATTAGCCAAATGAGCTATATTCCTGTCCCTGCGCTCTTCAAGATCTCTTATAGGTCTTTGGCAAGTTTTCTTGCAAATGTGAGGTCTCTGTTCCAAGTATTCTAGGGAATTGCTTGCTTAAATACTATTTGGAAGCTTTATGTAATCTAGGTATTAGTAGGAAACCTCCGTCTGTGCCTCAACAAGAAGTCTGACCTCCTGTGTTTTCCCAAAATGTCCAATTAAGTCAGTAGTCTTTAAAAAGGATTAAATGTAGGGAGAGTGGTACTTCAGTAGAGCCACATGGCCATTGGAAGAAACACTTCCTGATGAAACCCAAGCGTGACAGAAGTTTGTATTAACTTTCTGTTGTGTTTTATGAGAACCTCTCTAGGACTGGAACTGTAACTCTTAGTGTTGTAATTTGGAACTAGATGAACTTTCTACTTTTTGCAGCTGTTTTCAGTAGGAAGATACTGTATGGTGTATTTTGATCTGTGGTTCATGGGCTTTTTTAAATCTGTAGTGCATTGTTGGGCTGGTGTTGTTATAAATTGCTTACTGCTTAACACTAATAATGTTATTATGCTTTTTGAAGCAGCCTATGTTGCTGTAGGATGAATCATCCAGAAAAAAACATCAAAGGGGATACTGTTCATTGACATATCAGACTTAATGTTTAAAACAATGTTTTGTAGTAAGAATGTTCTTGATATCAAGTGTGAAGAATATGAAGTGAAACCCCAAGGGCATACAGTTTTATTATTTGATTTTAAAAAATGTGTGCATGCAAAAAGATGGGGTTTTCCCCCCACAACTTAAAACTGTGATGGTGCCGTCTCCGAAAGTGTCCAAACAATCTGATTCTCAATGAAGACTGCAACTGTGCCACTTTGATGTTTAATGCTGGCATTATTAGAAATAATTTTTAGTTTTAGAATGTTCTTAATACTTAAAGTTAGGAAAAAGGCCCGTTAAAGTCTGATGATAGCTGAAAAGACATTAAAAATATCTCCTGTTAGGTGGAAGTCAAGTAACTGGAAAACTTGAGTGAACCAGCTTAACAGTTTTGGCAGAAGAAGTTTGTGAGAACTGTAGTAACACCGTACATGTTTTGCTTAACTGCAGGAGCTGTAGGAAGGTATTCCCAGCTTTAGGAAATTTTAAGTCTAGTTTGTGTATCTGTCTACAGTGTGTTCTGTCATGATCATTATGCTTTTTTTCCCCCTTCTCAATAGGAGCCATACAGCTCTTTGTTGAGAAGCATTGAAATGGTGCTTATTTGCTTTTTTTGGCTCTCTTTCCTAGCAGAAGACATTTTGAAGTGTTTTGAGGCTTTAGTAGGAAGCAATTTAAATGGAAAGACTCTGCATAAAACAATGTGATAGTGAAAAATAGATGGGTGATATCTTAAGCAGTTGAAGTTAGCCTCATTAAAACTACATACTGTAGTTAAGAAATGTTTGTGTTAAAAGGGCGTCAGTAATTGTGGAACTGTAAATACAAATTGTTAGTGAATGGCCTTGAAACCAGATAGACTCATGCTGGCTGCATTGCTTGTCTCCAGACTCAAGAAGAGAGTTGTGTGTCTACTTTACAAAAAAAAAGGGGGGGGAGGGGAAAGCTTTGTAGTAATCAGTGCCCAAGGGGGTTTTTTTTAACTTTTGAGTTTTGGTCAGCAAAACATCCCTGATGTTCTGTGGTACCTGGTTTGCTTTTTGGTTGCCAGGTTGTTGTGAAATTCAAGGATTTTTCTTCAAGATTTCAGCTGAAATCAGTCTTTTTGTCTTTCCAAGCAGCCTTTGAGATTAGCCTTGGGTATCAGGGTCTGAATCAGAGGATTTGTTAGAGAATGCCTATTTGCTTCCTTTTCCCCACAGTGAATGTCAATTAACTTCCATCCCAAGAGATCCTTGCCCATGGAATTGCTGGGTTGCAATCCTGTAATCACAAACTGCAGCTATTTTAACCTAATCCAGAGTTCAGGGAAGTAGGAGGACTTCCAACTTTCCAGGTTCTCTGGGAGTTACTGGATTTTGTTGCTGTTTACTCCCCTGAATGCACTTCGTGTTAGGGTTCCTTGTATGTGATCAGTGGTCTGTTCTCCTTGGCTATTATAAACTTGTGCAGTCACTGGGGTTTCCATTCCTGGAAGATACCTTTGTTTGCAGCTCACCTTAGCAGAGGGATTGAAAAATCCACCTGAATGAAAATAAACTAACATGGTAAATTATAAATATGTGTGTCTACACACCTATACATATACCTTCAGACTATATATATGTATGTGTTCACTTCTGTTCATTAGTCTCCTTTTGTTTCCTGTGTGTCACCCAAGTGATAGTTCACGCTTCTTTATTTCGTGCTTGATTTCTAGAAGTTTCAGTTTGATTGTAGGATTTACTGTGTTGGTATAAGCATGATACTGTGTCTGATAGTCTTCTCTCAGAAGGCTCATAGCCTAGAAGTCAGTTTACAAATGGATTAAATAGGAAGAGAGTAACAATGAAACACAAATGAAGAGGTCTGGAGATAAGAGCACACCTCAGTGTGTAACCTGCTTTTGGCATCTCTACTCTGAGTTCAGACATCTTACTGGCAATCATGGTTGTACCAGACAGTGATGAGAATAGGAAAGACAAACCACACCTTGTTTAGTTGCTGACACTGAGTACTGACTTTTTCAAGCAGTAAGAAGGGCAAGCAATTGGTTCATATTTTCATATGGGTGAATCTAGAAGGAAAAAGAGGAAGGAGGGAGGAGGAAGATGGACTGAAATCAGCTGACTCTGCTACTTTGAATCCCTACAGACTGTGACTGTGTTGAAGAATAAGCTAATACAACCATTCCAAAACACTTTGCAAAGTGGCAGGTGTGATTCTTCTTTATGGGGGTGTAGTGTATGTGTGTGTGACAAGTGTCTTTGAAAAAACCTGTTTGTTTTCTTTGGACAATTGTATATGCTCTCAAACAGAGAAGCAGGGAATGCAAACTATTTTTTATAATTTGAGTATTTGCACCATAGGTGCTGATATTTTTGCAGCAAATACATGAAATGTCCTTGAAAATATAAGAGAAAAACAATACATTAGAATCAAGTCCCTTTGACCTTCTGTCTTGCCCTAGTGAACTTTTAGAAGTAAAAGGTAAAAATGTGTTACCTAAAGCATGTAAAAATTGTGATTGTGTAGTTTGCGATGAAAGGCAGTGTGAATTACATTTGTTCTTAATACAGTATCTGTTTAAATTGTTTCAGAACAGAATGCACAGATGAGAACTGACAACAGTAATGAAAATTCTTTTACCGGAACTGTTACACTACAGCTCCTCCAAAAAAATCACAGCATCACAAACCAGTTTGTTTTGGCAACACAAATTACAGATGATACAAACAACCTGTTTGTGTTCCTGGTTGTTCTCTGTAATTTCTGTAATGTGAATTAATTAGTGCAATTTTCCTCATTCAGGTGTAAAATTAGGAACAAATTAAAGGAAAATGGAAATAGGTTATTATAAAGCTCTATTTAAAACTGAAAATAAGACTAATGCTATCATGTTCGTAAAATTAGGATAGCTTCAAAACTCACCTGTTGAAATTGGACGAATGAGCCAGGGGCTCAAATGTATGTTGTTTTAATTATTTATGAAAAATGAGTGCCAAGAGAGAAGAGAAATGCATGAGTGCTTTGAAAGATTATCATGTGGGCATGAACATTGTGCATGAGTTGAAAGATGACTCTATGAGCTTCCAGTTGAGTGGAAACCAACGTTAATCAATTTGAGATAAACCTAAAAGAAAGCAGGCATCTCTGTTCTTGCTGCTGATGGAACTGCTTGCTTTCCTCCACATCCAGGACTTAGTCTTGCCTAATATATGCTGTCCAAACCTTGTACTAAGTAAAACGGTATTAATTTCTTTGTTGTATAATTGTCTTATTTTCTGAGTGCTTGATAAGTGTTTATAAATTGAATTGATCTCCACGGCATGCTTGTGCAAAAAAAAGAGATAAAATTACTAATTGTTTATAGCTGTGAAACTGTGTATATAAGAATTGAGGCTATGGTTGTTAAAACTGCATTCAGTGTTAAGAATCAGCTTCAAATATTATTAAGTTTCTCGGAGCATGTAACATTCAGTACACAATTCCTAAAGAGTTTTCATGCTCAAGAGCAGCTTCAGATTTTCAGGTGTGCGTGCTGGTGCAGTCATCTTCAGTCCATGTAAGAACTATTTTGTGCTTGCTCATAGTACACAAGTCGTGTATTTCCTCCTGGCTTACATGGCACACCTCAAGGTTTGAGGTGTGTTATCCTAATAGCTGAACACCTTGCACCACCTTCTTCCTTGTAATCACAGCTCACTCCTAATTTCTGCTTGTCCCCCCTGCTTCTCTTCTTTCCTGGGGTGAGTAATTGTATGGAGAGGTCAGCTTAGCATCTTAGTCCTTAGAGACAGGACATTTTCTTGTTGGGTGGAAACTTCTGTTCCTGTGCAGTGTCTCTGGCACATAGGACAAATGGTTCAATGAAGGAGGTATGATACAGGTGGGATCTCTGGGGAAGTTCTCTAACCATGTCTGCCAAGTTTCTAGCATACACAGATAAAGTAAGGTATAGAAGGTATTGTGAATGTATTTGAAAGTATTTTGCTGGTCTGTTCAGTTTGTGCAGTTATTTCAGCTTGAATGACTTTCTGGGTGCCTCAGGGACAATGACTTCTGGCATTGGAGGGGCTGAGGTGGACAAGTCAGTTCAGAATGAATGTCAGTCACTGCAGCTGAACATGACAGACTTCATCTGTCAGTTTCCTTAAAGTGGGCTTTCTAGTGAATGCTTTTCTACTCTGCTTAATCACTTGGTTATAACTTGAATTGTGTCCTAAGCTGGTTTGAAACAACAGGAAAGCTTTGTCAGCCCAGGTTCTGCCAAAAACAAAAAAAGAAAAAAGGAAAAAAAGCTTGGTTTCAGTTTAGTGCTGTATCTGATGATTTAAAAATGCATTTTATTTCTGAAATTTATTTCAAAAAGCACTGGTGGCTTGTGTTGGAACAATGGAACAGGTTTGCTGATCCTCATTGTCTGCCATGTGTCTTTGTTGAAGGCAGTGCAGCTTAAGTCAAAGGCATTTTTAGGGCAAGATACTAAATGATGAGCTGCAGTGGCCTAAGACACCCCTCCGTGTTCCTTTTGCTGTTCCTCTCCTCTCTCCCCATATGCAGGTAATAACTATAATCAGACACATGTATTGAGCAACCCAGTAAGATAATCTCCCAGTGAAGTTTTATTTGTGTGGTTTCTCTGGTAGGCAAGGTGTGTGTTTGCAAAGGCACTAGGAATATGGACAAGTTTCTAAGAACAGAGATGTTTTGGCACATGAGGAGTTACTTGTTTGCAGATGTTTTCTCAGAAAATGGACACAAGGAGCTTGAATTCTGTTGATGAAAACTTTTGTCTAAACAAGGATCAGTACAGCTTTTCATGGTTTGGCCTTGCCCTAAGCTTTACTGGCAGAGCTGTGGCATTTAGCAGCATGATCTTTAATTGTATCGCAAAGCCAGTAAGTGATGCTAACAGTTACACCACAACAGCAATGCATTGTCTGGTACAATTTATGCTGTCAGTAGAACTTGGTACAATTTATTAAACTAACATAATTGTATCTAAATTAGTCTGATTATATCCATCCTGTAAGACTTACCAGTGTATCTGTAACTATCTGTGCCTAGTTTACAAAAAAAAGTCATGTATAATATTGATCAAAGTGATTTTTACTGACACAACTGCTACTTCTATGTTGCTCTCAAATATTTTCTTAAGTGGATAAGCTGAAGGCATTTATGTAAGTGACTCTTAGTCACCTGATGAAAGAACACCTTTGTACTTCACACCAGTATTTGAGATTGAAGAATAGTTATTTACTTGTCTTATGGAAGGTTTTTATTCAAGTTAGTCAGTTAAAATCCATAGGTCAGCTTTTCAGACATGGAAATAAGAACATTTAAAACATGTTAGAATGTTAATCTGTCAAGGTGTGTATGTAGAGTATATCAAATTGCTTTAGATAATTCAGTACTTTGAAACATGTAGGATTGTTGATCTATTATTTGTAGCTTCTGTGTGTACATTTGCTTTTTGTTTGTTTGTATTTTTTGTTTGTTTGGTATCAGCACTTCCTTTAGATCCAATTCACAGGAGTTTAGTGATAGAGGCTGTCCATTCCACCAGGTAGCCTTTGCAGTTGTCCTTCCTTGAGTTCATTTTGTTTGAGTATTGCTCTATTCCCCTCAGCCTGTACTTAGACTTTCAGCAGCTATACTTTTTAAGCTGCCTGGACAAATTTCCTTCCCTGTCTCCATTAATTCATGTGTACCCCAAGTCACCCGTTGGATTGTGCTATCATGGTGTTTGTGAGGCCCCACAGTGAAGCAGATGAGGGATTTTGCTCACTGAAACTGTTCCTCTTGGCCAGTTTATTTTTTTTCCAATTTAGCCATTCCCTGTTGTGGTTTACTGTTCAGCTGTTCTGCTGCTGGAATGAGAGGTCAGTAGGAGTGAGTGGGAGTTGCCAGTTAACCTATTATACGAAAAGCTGAGTAAGTACTTGAGCTTATCCTGTCCATTTATCCTACGCAGAGCTGGAGCTGCTGTCTGTTCCTAATTTACAGCTGATTGTTTATTAACCTACAAAGCCAAATATGTGACAGTAGTTTTCTTTTTTTTTCGAAATCCAGAATGATCTGCATCTTCTGCTTCAGTCTGATAGATAAGAAATGAAGCTTTTGATTTAGCTGAGACAAAAGTGTAGTTTTTTGTTGTGTTTCAGAAAAAAAAAATAATCCCCATCTCACTCTAGATGTGTTGCTCAGTAAGACATTGTTATTGCATGCAGTTAGAGATTTCTGAAGGATAAAAGACATCAGACTAACAGTATCTTTTTCAAATTTTGCTACTGTTAAATTGTGATGGGTGTTGTATCAGAAGATAGTTAGAAGGTTTTTAGGGAAGCATTTTGAGAAAAGCATTTACGAAACTAAGTTGTAGAGTTTTTGTTACTCCTAAGTTTTTCTACCAGTTTTGAAATTCGTTTTTTCCATGGGGAAATTTTTTGGTTTGAAATTTTTGTCAAAAGACCCATTGAAGTAGAAGAAACTGAGTTGAACTTGTAAAGACATGATACCAAATAAAAATTGAGCAATTTATTTTGCATTTTTTGGCCTGCACTTGTGTCCTTTATAAAATAAAGAGTTAGGCATGTTTTGATCAAACAGTTCTTTGTTTCAGAATGAAAATACCTGTCCAATTTCTCTCTCAAGATCTTTCTTCTCCCATTTAGTGTTGTCCCATTGTTTTGCCATCCCATGATGTGCAGCTTTGTAGATACTAATGGGGAGAGCATCAAGGCAGAAGAGCAAGTGAGCATTCCAAAGTTGTGATATGATGGAAAGATTTCAAATGTTTCAGTGTGAAGAAGGGAAGAACTCAACCACAGGAGTAGACTCCTGGGTAAAAAAAAAGATTTTGCAAAAGGCTGGGTAATTCCTTTGCTTACATACAGTACCCTTTGTGGTGCTGAGTTCTTCTCAGTGCTGAACTCACCCTTAGGACTGGAATAAACTTTCTTCAAAAAAACACTCATAGGGTGTCATAAAATGTTAAAAATCCTTAAATTTAACTCATGAAAATGTCATCTTTTTTAGTAGACTGCAGGAAGTGAGGGGTTTATTTTCTTTGCCTCCATTTCCAGACTCATTGAACTTAAGTTTCAAAAGTCAAAACAAACTAAAAGGCACACATACAGCAACAACAACAAAGAAAGAGAGGGAGAAACCTAACAAAAACTCAAAATCAAACCCCCCACAACTCCACTGTAAAACTCAGAGGTGCTTCAGCTGCTGTGATTTACTTCCATATCAAGTCTGTTATGTTTGTTAGATTCTCTCGAGCTTCTTGGAGGTGGAATTCAGGCTTGCATGTCTCTCTGTGAGTCTGTCCAACTAGAGGGCTTAAAGGATAAGACTAAGTAAGGTTTATCAGTGACAACTAACAAATAATGTAGATAAATGTCTTTTGTGTATTTTTCTTCCTCCATTGGAGAGTTTTTCTTTCTGGGTCTCAGCAGAGGGAAGGCAAGTTCAGTAGGCTGAGTCCAAAGACAGGGTGATGTAAATACCCAGTTGATGAGGCTCTGGATTTTAGTTATGTGCTGAGCATTTAAAGATGTTTAAAATGCAGTGGGGTTAAAGCCCCTTAGAATTGTTTATAGTGTCATTGCCATTAGGAATGCTGTAGCTGAACTTGTCCGTATTTGGTCAAAGGATTATGTGTTCTGTGGGCAGCATTCAACATGCACTGCTCAGTCGAAGGCATTAGTACTAGAGAGAGATCTGAGACATTTATAATCACAAGCTTGGTCTGAGAAGGTAAGCAACAACAGCAGCGAAACAGCTTATTAAAATATGTGCTCTGTCAGATACTTCAGTTTTGCATCCGTAGGCAGTACTGTCTGAAGTGAGAATTTTGTATAGCTCTGTTCTTTCTGTTGTGGAGGAGAGCGAAGCCTTAAAAAAGCATGAGAGGTTCTTTGAAGGCATCTGCATGTGTGTAACTTACGTTTCTTGTTAGCACAGTAAAAGACTTTCTTCTGAATTGGGAAGCAGCAGGTGGAGTTCTGCTGTTTTTTGATTAGTCTACAGAAACAGTGACTTGGTGAACAGAATTGGCAAATATAACTACAGGGAGATCGGGAAGGGGAGGGAAGACAAAGATTGAACAATATTTTTCCTCCTCGGGCAGTGTAAACTTCTGACTTGTATATAATATGAAGAGACAACAGTTGCTTCATACTTTATTTTGGTATGCACATGTGATCATGCAGCTGAGGAGGAGAAAGATTAGTGAAACTGAAGTGAAATGTGGTTTTACAGATAACTTTTAAAAAGCGTCACCTGCCGAAAATCCCACATAACCTGTTTTTATTACCAGGCAAAGAGGCAATAAAACGATTTTCTGAGCATATTAATTTCAAAGAAAAGTGGTTTGTAGAAGTGAACTAGTCGTTGAAAGTGGGGAAAATGAGAAGTGTTGTATGTCTGGACTATGTCAAATGGGTTTTAAATAGTAGTCTGTCCTTCCTCTTTCTCTTTTCAAAGTAATAAATTGTTATTCCTTAGATAAAGGTTTTTATCTTATTCCTCAGGATGCATTACTGGATGATGTTAAGGTGCTAGAAATATCTGTCATGTAGCCCATGCTATTTTCTGATTCTAAAAGCGATACTTTCAGGCAGACTAAAGATGACAATATCTACTTACTTAGCAAAGGCAACTTCACCCCTTTTTAGTCTTTATAGTGTACGGGAGCGCACTATGGATACTTGAAATCCCAACATTTTTCTCTATTTTTATGTTCATAGCCTATTTGTGTCAATTTGTAATGTTTTATTTCTGCAGTTTATTCCCTTGGTAAAAAATAGTAAGTAAAGGTAGTGCAAAGTGCTTTTTCCCCTGCTTTCACAGAGGCATTTGTGTATTTATGTAAGTGAATAAGAGTGCAGGGCTTGTATAAGCTTACTTGTCTGTTTACTTTTCCAGAGTATGTATTGCATATTGACTGTGATGATTTTCGTTCTGAGACTTCCTGAAATGGCAGAGTATTTGGGGAGGGACAAATGAGGTTATGAACTGAGCATCTAGGAAGCTGTTAGTCCCACCTATTTTAACGCAGTGCCCTTGGGTCAAATTATTTCTTTTCAAGATTTCTCTCAACAAAATTCTGTTCTGACCAGAGCACCTTCCCTTTTAGGAGCTGTACAAGTTTTTGTGGCAGAAATGTGAGTTCCGAGTGTAAACAGGATCTTCCCCTCTTCCCTTTTTTATTCTGATTAGCTACTCACTCACTTTGTGGGAGGACTTGTTCCCTCTACTGTCTGGAGGGAGAAGAAATAGGTGGTTATAATATCTTCTTTCCCTTCTGTCTGCCACTGGCAATTACAACAGATGGTGTTGGAGATGCATATGTAGAGGGTGTTATGTACAGCATCTCTTTGCAGCATCCTTGAGCTAAGGCTGTCAAAACCTATTAGATGTTCCTGTATCATTCTGCAGGGACCATGTCCAGTTTCTGTGGTTTTACACTAAGGAGCCGCAAACGCACGTGAGAGATCTTGTTTTGTATAGAGGTGTTGAGATCTAATAAGTTTGCCGTCAAATTTGTAGTAGTAGTGTGCTCTCATGTTTCCAAACTGCACATGTACACAACTACAGCAGTTTCCTGCGCTAAGAGTGCAGCCACCAAGAGTTTGATTTGCCAAGAATTCATAGCTTTTTGTTTGAGTTGACCTCTCAGCCTCTTAACTGCTTTTTCATTGTGGTTTTTATTTGTTCTGTAGTTGGTAAAATCTGTTCTACCTGATGCCTCCATTTCAGCTGCACTTTGTCAGTTAGGGAGGACATTCTGCCATGTATCCTGTTGGCCTCACTCTGAAAGAGACACTTGTTCCTGAGTATTTATTTACTATAAGAGACTATTTTTTTTGCTTCCAGGAAGAAGGAAATGTTCGACTGGACTGATTCTCTCCATGTAGTTAACTTGTTTTGTCGTATTATCTTTCTGATGCAATTATAGAGGATACTTAAGGATTCTGCCAAGCTTCACCTTGTACTTGGAGTACTAGGCTTGTAGTGCAGCCTAGACTTGCTGACCTTGTTCTTTGATTTCATAGCGAACTTGAGTTCATTTCTTTGAAAAAAGAGGCTTTCTTGATAACCTGAGTTTTTCAAAGGAAGTGAGGCTTTTCAAACTGTTTCCTTTTTTTAGACTTGTCTTGCATCCTGCCAGAGTACTTAATGAAAATTGCAACCATATACCAGTGTGAAAACAGCAGGTTACCTCTTAGTATTCTTCCCTGATCCTTTTGCTAGGGATTTGGGGCATCTTTGCCTGTTATGTGAGAATAGTTCCATCTTGAGTGGTCTGGGAAGGATACCAGTCAGGAAAGTTCAGATTTTGCTCCAACACAAATTCTCTTCTCTGTGTTTTTGCTTTCGTTGTTGAAGTTGTCGTAGCTTTGAGACTGAGAAATGTACCTCACACTTCTTCACTCCTTGTGAGAATACTGGAAAACAGAAGACAAATGAATCATGTAGGGTTACTTTGAAAGATTGGAAGAAAACAAACCCAAACTTTCAGGGCTGATTACTTAAAGCACGTATGTTAGGGTGAAAATTCATCCTGAGGAATTCCATTTAGTGATGAATAGCTCTTGCTTTAGTAAATAATATGAAATTTTGTGCTTTATTTTAAAACATTTTTAGTAGTTTGGTAGTTCCAGATGCAGGTCCCAGAGTTCAATGCAAACAGCTATTAGAGGATTGTTATAGGAAACATGTTTCCAATTAAAGAAAAAAAATTATGAAACCACTAAATTTCTCAAATTGGATATTGCCTGGAATTGTTTGGGTTTTGAGAAAAAAGTTTAATTCTTTCTGATTCATGGTGAAATCAGAGTTCAAGGTCTTGCAATTCTGCACAAGATGTACAATTCTACAGAAAAACTCAGGATTTTTGTCAGTTATATTAAATGTTTGAAAGTAGATATGGTGAAAGATGCTTGTGTCAGTTTTAAAACCTTGATGTACATTACATACTTGCATATTCTTTAACAGTATTTTACATTTATTTAGGTTCCTCTAAAGAAGGAGGAGCTGGAGCTGTGGATGAGGATGATTTTATTAAGGCATTTACAGATGTTCCTACTGTACAGGTAAGATGTTGTCTGTGTTTATGTTTGCTTTCAGAAATGTGCTATTTGCAATAATGTGTTATCCTGCTTTTAAAACTTCTGTAAGTTCAGTGTCCTAAGTAAAGCATTTTACTCTTTCTTCTTCCTGAAATTATAGTCTCCAATTCCTTTTTCCAGTTAGTTACCCAAACCCCACCTTTTCTTTACTGTCCTTCTAATTATCATCACATTGTGTTTCAGCTAAAATCCATTATTGCTTTTTGTAGTATTTTCTAGGGAGCTACTGAAAATAATAATGTGTTTCAATTTTAATAAGAAAACTATTTCCATAGCATTTGAAGAATTTAGGGCTGCCATTTCAAGGGATAATCAAGTACTAGTAATGCAGGCAAATGACTTAAAAAGCAAGAATTGTGTTTTCAAATGTGCCTGAATGATGTGTGTCTGGCATACATGTCCTCATTCTTGCAATATTTTAAAAAATGAAATCAAGCGCCTTATTTGCCTACTAATGAACTTGTTGGATGCTGAGTTCTTAATTGCAAGATCAGATTTTAATTTCTGTTCTTTAAGTGTGGGAATTGCACATATTTGGTGCTTTCACACAGTTGAGTCATTTAACATTCTTGTAGCTTCCTAGACTTATTCCTTTGAATAAGTTTTCTTTGAGTAGCTGAGGTGTGGAAGGCAACCAAAAACTCAGTAAGCCGTAGCTCCCAAACAGCAGAAGGATTTTATATGACTCCCTCTCTTGATATGTACTTTTGTTCTATTTTTATTTCCCAAGATGATAACATAGTTATTTGTTAGGTCTCCTTCTGCAGGCAGAAACACTGTCTGTTTTCATGAAGGAGCACTCTATCTCCATAATCCGTGTCACATCAAGGAAATCTTTGTCTTGCACTGTATGAGCTTTGTGTTTCTTTGCCTCTTCAGACTGTGTTAAGAATTCTTTGGAGGACAAAAACATGCAGCTCTTAATGCTATTTATCCCCATTATGTTCAACAGGGCCATATTCCACAGCACAGAGAATATGATGCTTGTAGTTCAGTGCCTTAGTATTTGTAGTCCCAAGCAGAGTTCTGTAATCACTCAGGCCGGTTAAAAACAGTGCAGGAACAGAAGTGGGGTAACCACATGTCATTGACCAAAACATGTGATTTTTCTGTCTGACTACTGAATAGCCTAGAAAGGTAGGTTGTTCCCTAAACTGCAAGAGAGGTTTAGTGAGGAGGCAGGGGAGAAATGTGTAACTGACTCCAAAATAACCTATTTGTTTAATGGATGAGAATGCAAGGGAAAAAAAAGTGCTTTTTTTTTTTTTTTAAAGTGTCCGTAGGATTAATGATTTCCTGCTCTTCAATTTGATGCTTCTGGTTGTGGATTATCTCTGATAATTTTAAAAAAATATGTAAATTCCATGTTCTGAGACCATGTTAATTACTAAGAGGGAAATTTTTATGTTAGACCTGTGAAGAAAGTGTGTTTATGACCTGTTAGTCGCCAAGTGATACTAAAAGCAAAGGAAACTTGTTAGACAGCACTGGGAGAAGGAGTTGTTTGTACATTATTGAGCCCATTCCTGTGTCCCTTCTGTTTTCATTACATTTATGCATTTCAGTAGTGGCTTCATTGAAAGTAAGAAAGGGAACTACATTATGGAAAACCAGATCCAGTTCTGGATCAAGGTTAAGTGCGTCTGGATTAATCAAGTAAATTGTGGTTACTTACCGTGTGTTGTATATGTTTTAAGTCAGATCTGACTTTCCAGTAAGCTGTTCAAATGCCCATCTTTTTTTAGGAATATCATATTGTTTTCTCATATGTAGTTTTTAATCCCCATATTGAAAATACTTCCCACCTGTATAGTTATTACTCTTATTCATGTTTGAGATTTTACATTTTCTGCCTTTGATGTTTGTCATGGTTTAACCCCAGCCAGCAACCAAACACCATGCAGCCGCTTGCCCGCTTCCCCACCAGTAGGACTGGGGAGAGATAAAGGCAGGTTAATAGAGAAAGCAAAAGGTGCATCCAAGCAAAGCAAAACAAGGAATTAATTAACAGCTTCCCATGGGCAGGAGGTGTTCAGCCATCTCCAGGAGAGCAGGGCCCCATCATGTGCAATGGTTACTTGGGAAGGCAAACACCACCACTCCAAACGTCCTTCTTCTTCCTCCCACTTTATATACTGAGCATGATGGCATATGGTATGGAATATCCCTTTGGCCAGTTTGGGTCACCTGTCCCAGCTGTGTCTTCTCCCAGTTTCCTGTGTGACCCCAACTTCCTTGCCAGTATGGCAGTATGGGAAGCAAAAAAGGCCTCGGCTCTGTGTCAGCACTTCTCAGCAATAACAAAAACATCTCTGCATTATCAGCCTTGTGCCCTGCACAAATTCTAAGCACATCCCCACACTAGCCACAGCCCAAACCAGCGTGATGTTGCAATTACCTGTAATGATGTGTGTGCATGTTGCCCTCTAATGGATAGCAGCAGTTTATGAAGCAGATGGGCAATGTTCAGGTGTAGTGTGGCAGATCTGTGTGCCAAAAAGAGTTCAGTGGTGGCAGGATTGTGCCCTCATATCTAAGATTATGACCATAATGCTTTTAGAACTCTTATTTGCTTGCCTTTGCTGAAACTGAAGAAAATTCTGTGTTCAAGTTATCAGGACTAACTCCCTTGAATAACTCAAATTTGTTTGTAAACAAATTTAGTTGATTTTATAGAGGTCTGATGTGGGAACTTATGAAAAAATGTTTCATCTTGGCCTTCGAAAAGCATAATTAATCAAGGGCAGGGAGAAAAGAAATTATTAAAATACTACCTTTTATTCCTCTGAAATTAAAGAAGGTATGGACAACCTTGACCATTTGGGATTTTTCAGTGGAATTATGGTTTTCACTTCATAACAACATAAAATTATGCCATTTATTCAATTCTTCATTACAATGCCAATTTGCATATATCAAGATCCGGTTCTGTTCGTGCTAAGTAATTAAAGAAGAAAGATCTTGGCCTAGCAATGCTAGTAAGGCAGACATAAACCCACTGTACATGTCGCTTGTGTGTTTGTCTCTTGCTTAGCATGTTTTTACACAACGTGGTCTCTGTTGATATGGAGGCTGACAGCAAAGAAGTCCAAATCTCAGGATCTGCTCAATAAAACAGCTTGCAAAAGGTGTTTTTACCTTGTCCAGGACTTCAGACTAGATTTTGAGTGTACATTAAGTAGTCCTCAGTTAGATGCCACCAAAACATGGCCCTGCCTTGTTTTGTTGCACTTCACTTCTTTATGATAAGATGACAAAGAAATGCTGAGTTGCCAGAGAAATTTTGCCTTTCCTCTTGTAGATTTAGCTTTTTGTATGTTAAAGCTCTGAATTGAGACAGGGCAAGGTGGGTGATAGTAAAGGGAGATCCTGAGGCAGTTGAGTCATGTCACAAATCCTGATGGCATCAAGTGTCACCATAATACCTAGGTGTGTCTTTAGTTAATCAGTGACTCCCTTTGGCTTTTAAAGAAAAACAAAAATTTTCTTCGATAATAGAAACTTAGTGTTGTAAAAATGCTTACTGAGACACATGTAATACCTGTTTCTAAGAGTATGGTACCCGTAGAATTAGAGTAAACCAGTGTTGTGTAACAACTATTACACACTACCACTATGCACAAGTATGTTAAATGGTGATATAAAACTCATGTTCAATTTTGTGGGCAGTGGAGTAGAAAGTCTGTTACACTTGGACCCACTGTTTTAATTAAGTCATTTACTCTTTTTAAATAAGTTATGCATCAAATGTTTAATGACTTCCAATGAACAAGAAAACAGCGATCATGAGGAATACCTTTGTTATTCATGGATGTAGTCATGTCCCCTGTATAGAACTCCAAAGCTGCTTTCACAGTGTATGTTGGAAAAGTTCACACAGCTGTGTGGTACTAAAAATTACAGTTTTGTTGGTAAAGTATATTCAGAAATTGTTCTCCACATGGTAGCAAAGGTGGCCTGGGTATACTCATTTGTCTGTTTCTGAAGAGCTTCATACCCTGTTTGTCCTATAAGCCTGATACACACATGTTTCAGAGCACAGCTGTCTTTCACCTCCTCTGTATTCCAGCATCTAATACGGAGGCCTCCATAACCATGTCCTGTTAGAGCACTGGAACAAAAGTAGATGTCAGTAGAGTCAAGGTCCCATGTTTTCTGTAACTTAAATTCATTCAATATGCTCAGGAAACTGGAAAACTAGACTGTATTTGGAACAACTCTTGTAGTAATCTCAAGTTGCCTGGGAAAATAAGATACTTTATAGCAAATCGTTCAGCTTAAGTGTAGAACAGAAGGAAGACAGTCCTTCTGTTTTACGATAAAGTTGCACATACACATGCAGAACAATGTGTCAAAGCTCTTCAGCAATTCGTGCAAAGCAAAGTGTCCTAATGACTGACCCTTGTTTCCTCTATGTGCTCTTGCACATACAAAAACTATGTCTTGTACTTATATTAATGATAAGGGAGTATCAGCCCTTCCCTACTGTGTACGTGCTGTGTAACCTGTCATGCTTGGCCTCTGGCTTTCACTCTGGAAAGGTGCAAAGTTCCTTGAAGTCCTCCCCATATCTGCCAGCCCCATGTGAATGTGGTGAATGTGTCTCAGGTGTATGGGGAGTGAGTTGTGTTGACTGTTTTTATGTAAAAGAAACTTTGATTGAAAAATTAGAAGTGTTTAGCTGAAAATTCCTTCTTGGAAAAAAGCCCCAAAAACCCAACTCTGGCCAGATCAAGTTTCTGGTTAGCAATTTGCTTCATATCCTCTTAAACTTACTCTCAATCTGAAAAAAAAAAAAAAACACCACACTTTAAATTTTGCATATACAGTGGAAGCAGAGAAAAAGCATCCTGTGGCTTACATCCAGGAGAACAGAAGGAAAGTCAGTTTATTTCTTACGATACTATATTTTAATGACTATTTTTTTCTATTCTTCTTTAGATATCTGCTCTTGTACATATACAGTGGCCAATAAATCCATTAATGTATAACCACATAGTGACTGATGCATGATTAGATTGTTCAAGCTTCATTTTTAATGTTCTTACTGTGTAGCGAGAACTCCAACTAGAGGCGGTTCCATACTTTTATTTATTGACTGTGTAAGTTTAATGTCTAAGATAGTCTTGAAGTAGTAATACACACAGAAGCTATGGAAGCCTTTAATTTATTTTTTCAGACAAATTTTTATATTAGTGTTGACTCACAGCCCAGTTAGGCCCTCAGAGAGTCTTGTACTCTTCTAATGCAGGAGAGTCCTTGCCCCAAAATAGTTGCATTGAGTTAAAATCTGTTTGTTGAGTTTCATTGTAATAGTGAGTATGAAAATGAAATTGAGCTGCAATAATATCGCAGCAGATTACCTAAATCCTCTGCTTGTATTGAATTATTTATTTTTATGAATGGAGTTAGCAAAATTCTGGGTATGATTAGCTCATCACAAAGGTGAAAGGTGAAATCTTGAGGAAAACATTGATTCTTCAGTGCTTTTTATAACTAATATTTACTGCTCAATGAGGCCCTTACAGAATTGTCTTTAAATGACCATTTATATCTCTTATACAGTTCTCTGGAGCTTTTGGGGGAAGATTGTCAGAATTAGAATTGTATTTTCAGTCCTCTCTAGCTATTTTCCTTCATCAGGTTACCTGGGATATTAACAATATAATTTTTCTGGTGTTTTTATTCTTATTACTACAGATCTATTCCAGTCGAGAACTTGAAGAAACGTTGAATAAAATCAGGGAAATTCTCTCTGATGACAAACACGATTGGGATCAGCGAACTAATGCGGTAAACTTTTTATCTGGTTTCAGGTATGGGCGGGTGCATTTCATAAAGCACAGGCAGCTAGATATTTTAAAATGGGTTGTTTTTGTTTCTTCAAGTGGCTACAGTCCAGGTAGTTGAAGAAATTTTCATTTTAATTCTTAAACCTTGAATTTCTGTATGCCAAGTAAGTTTGATTATTTTTATAAGGCTGAAATGTTGTCATGTAAGTGGAAGCTTTTCTGAAAGCCATCATATATGTTTCAGTTTGGCATTTATGAAATTAAATTAAAATTACATATTCTGTAGGTTAACTGCTAGTGTTAGTACCTCTTATGGGGAACTTTCACTTCCAGGATTAAAATGTTTGTGTGTATTCACATTTATATTTTTGATCAGGTTTATGGCACCTTAGTGTTTAGAAACAGGTGTGTGAACAGAATTATGTCCTTGTGTATTTGTAGATTGTGTTCTGAGATTTTTTTAGCTCTAGAGATAAGAAATAGAACTTTTACAGTTTTTGAAATTACTGCCATGTATTTCAAGGTGATACTTTAAAGACATGCCTACATACATTTTTGCAATGAAGCTATTACTTGTTTTGTTTTAAAATGATATTGCTAGCATCCTAAAATAAATGCCTTAATTTATTTTAGCTGAAGAAAGTTCGGTCGTTGCTTGTTGCTGGAGCTGCACAGTACGATGGATTTTTCCAGCATTTACGGTTGTTGGATGGTGCTTTCAAGCTGTCGGCCAAGGATCTGCGATCCCAGGTGGTTAGAGAAGCATGCATTACTGTAGCGTAAGTACAGCTCACCTGCATTTGTGTACCTTGCTGCATGTCAGTAGGAATTTGACTTAGAGATGCTTTGTCAGTGTTGCAGGGTCTTGTTGGTCTGCTGTACACTGTGACTGATAAAGAGTCAAGACAGCATCTGAAGCCATAAAGAAAAAGAAATGCTTAAAGGATTTTTTTCTCCTAGGTGATATACTGTAACAGGTTCTATGTCAGTAACAAATTAAGTGTGATTGCACGGAGTACTTAGTGCAAGTTAATACAAACTGCTGCGAGTAATATTGGGGGCTAGTCTTAGGACCACTTATGCTTGGGTGATTGGCACTGTACTTTACTGGGACTACATGTGATTGCAAAATGAATCCATGTAGTGATTTGAACACTGTGCTTTTTGGAGAGGTAATGTCTTTCATAGAATCATAGAATGGTTTGAGTCGGAAGGGACCGTGGAGATGATCTAGTCCCAATCCCCCTACCATGGACAGGGACGCCTCCCACTAGACCAGGCTGCTCAAAGCCCTCATCTAGCCTGGCTTTGAACATTTCCAGGGTTGTGGCATCCACATCATCTCTGGACAAGAGTTGTCCATGATAATTTTAGAAGACATGGCTAAACTGAAGTAAGATCTTCACCCTTATCATTTTAGAGACTTTCATTAAATTCAAGAGTGGGAGAAAAAGCCAAAGCAGTCTTTTCTACTTCTGTGTTTTCTGTGATGTTTTTCCCTGTGGAAAGATGTTAATGTAACCACTGATTTTCAGTGGCTATCCAAAACAGATACACCAAAGTTCATCCTTGCTGTTCTGGTCTCCTGATTGAACAGACCGAGGGCATATGTTGGAGCATTCAACTGTCCTTGCCAGGGAAATTGGTTTTGAGAAAACAATAGTAACCTTTCAGAATGTGAAGTCAGAAGTAGGGTAACAGTATTGTTCTCATCTGGGCCTAAAAGCCTGGAATTTTACTCGATCCCTAAAACTTTGATATATTTGATATGTCATTTGCTGCTAGCTGCAAGTTCTTTTTATGTAGTCTCTCTGCACAAAAGAAGCATTTGTTGTCACCAATGGACAGTTCTGTGTGTTTGTATATTTGTTAAAATTGAAAACTTAACCTGGACTAGACAAGGGAGTAAAATTTTATGGTTGGCAAATTGTGATGAATTCAGTATTTTTGCCTGCATTCAAAGGGAAAAAAGTCGCAATAATTTATGTAAAATTTTAGTTTAGTATGTCTTAAAGTGTGTTAAGAAGCAGAAATACAGTGATATTTCATGTGGACATGAGAATATAGGTTTGGTTTTCATTATCAAATAAAGTAATTAATGTTCTGCTTCTTAACGTGTCTGCTAAGTAACAAAAATGTTCCACAAATTGTGCATTGCTAATGAGGCAAGGATGTGGAACTCATGACATTAAGAAATTCTGCTGTTTGGAAAGATGAGTTGTCAAAATCCACAGTGAACTTTGTTATTTTGAGACTAAGAAAATAATTTTTGTTAACAAGTTGTATTTCTTTTCCCTAAACAGCCACCTTTCAACTGTTCTGGGAAACAAGTTTGATCATGGCGCTGAAGCTATTGTGCCTACTCTTTTTAACCTGGTTCCCAACAGCGCCAAAGTGATGGCAACGTCGGGGTGTGCGGCCATTAGATTCATTATTCGGGTAGGTGTTCCTCTCTCACTTTGCTTGCTAGGAATATTCAGGTAGTGGCTCTTGGCAGAGATAAAAGTTCTGAAATACAGGTTTATAAATAATTTTTTAATGAGAAAATTAAAAAGAGAGTTGTAGGAGAACAGTACCATTTGCAGTAGTTGTAGTTGAACTCAGGCATGTAACAAACTAACCCTGTCTTGTTCACAGGAGCCAAATCAAGCACCAAAAAAGCAGCATGAAATAAAAATTCACTAGTTATATTAAACTGGTTTTCTTGGTTCAGTTCAGTTGAAGACGAATCTACACATCAGCCTAAGTTGACCTGATTTTGTTTGCACTTCCATTCTTCTTACTTGTAATTTAACATACTGAAATGGAAGCATAAAAGTGAGAAAATCCTGTCCATAGTGTTAAAATCCCCAACCAAGAAGTGGCTTATGCAAGATGTTATGTCAGAACATTTGGGTTTTATTGAAAAAAGAAATAAATATCAGGGTCAAACAAAAGTACACCTCCACACCCCTTTGGATTTCATCCTTTGGACTAAGTGAGTGTTGGTCAGAGTGTGTGGGATCAGTTGAATATTTGAGCACAAGATATTGCAGTCTTTGGAGTCAACGTTTTGCTCAAAAACTGCTACCAGAATCCAGTGACAGCTAGTTCAGGTTCTGGTGCTTTAGTGGGTAATTGGTGTAAGAGTGTGTCTGCATAAAAAGAGTGAGGCGGTATTACAGCAGTGATCTTGGAGAGCTCCATCTCATCTTTGTGCTAATACTGGCTTTCGTATTTCTTCTCCACAGAGTTCTTACACTGTAGTCTGCTTTCTCCTTCTTGACTCTTAGTAAATCAGGAAACCAGTTTTAAAAAAGGAGGGGGGGAAGAAGAAGGATCATGGAGAGATGGCATGGTGGCAGAAAATCCTTTCCAGAGGGAGATGGGACTCAGATTAGGCAATTGAGCTGCAAGGTGGTTTGGGAGGAAGCTTGTATCATTGCAGTTTCAAAGGAGTAACTAATGAAATGTGCAAACTTACAGCTGAATGCAAGCAAGCCTGAGGCTTTGATTCCTTTGCAAAACACTTTAGAAATTACAATGTCAATAGCTCCAAAGACTTGGGACATAGAGGTTTCTTCATCTGTAAAAACATTTTATTTTTACCCCTGATACTGCTTATTGTCCCTGTCTAGCAGTCATGTGCCACTTTTCAATCTGAAAACTATGGAAAACACAAACAAAACCTCTAAAACCCTGTTTGAAAGTATATCAGTACAAATAAATGCAACTGTTAGGTTCTTCCAGACATTTTGATTAATTCCTTCCTACCTCTGAATTTGGCAGTACTATATGAGCTGGTAATTATCTCTGCTTTTTTTTCATTGATTTGTGTGTTTATATCCTGCAGCAATAAACTAAGGAGAAAGTAGGATACATGAGATAGTAAGAATTCTTCATACATGCTTTTTAAGCTGTTTGTTATTTTTAATTAGCTTACAGTTTCACACTGTATTGGGGACTGTTTTAGAAATTACCTTAGGTATTTAATCAAGAGAGGAATAAAGAAATTAATTGGAAGTTGATTTGTTGAACCACTTTACTCTTACTTGGAATTAAAATGTTAATATTTTGTGTCTACAGTTAGTTAAGACATGATGAAGTAAGGCTGCTTTAGTTCAGAATTGAAGAATTGCATTTGGATTTAATGCAGTTTATCTTACCTGCCTTAAATAGTAGTTCAAAAGTTTTCTTTTCTCATTGGGATGTTAGGTGTCTCCATATGGGTTATATACATAAGCTTGCTTATGTTACATGTCGCTGCCTTTATTACTTCAGTTACATATTTTGCATTAAAAGGAGTTTGGTCTTTGTAGCACTAATCATATTGATCCCTAAAAGAATGACCATAGTTTCAGATTTATTGATTTACTTTTTGCTTCCTAACTCTGATTTTTAAGACTGCTACATCTATTACTTTTTTTTTTTCTGCGGCAAAACTAAAATAACATCAGCTTCCAGCTCTGTTCAGGAGACAGCTACATTTGAACCTTCATATATTACATCTGACGGCTGAGTGTTGCATATCATGATGTGATTGTTGATGGCACTGGAAGTGACTTTTGCTTGACCTTCTGGGAAAAAATAGCTTTAATCAATTGACATGCTAGCAGCAGTCTCTTATTTTGATAGTATTCTACGTTTAGTTTGGCTAAGCATTTTAAATGGTTACAATTTTTATTATGTTGCTAATTCTATTTTGACTTAATTAGTACAGTAAAAATTCAGAATTCAGGAGTGCTTTTGTCATTAACTGCTTTTTCTTTTTTTGTTGTTAGCATACTCACGTGCCACGACTCATACCATTGATAACAAGCAACTGTACCTCAAAATCAGTTGCAGTTAGAAGGTGAGTACATTAGAAATAGAAAATTATAAAAGTTGTCACTTTTTACAATGTGATTATCATATGTTGAAGAGATTTGAAGATTTGTGCCCATTAGCTCTGAATACACAAAGTTGTTATCCAGTAAACAACAGAAATTAGTTTCAGCAAAGTGACATTGGATGACATTGAGCAACGGTACTTTCTGCCATGCTGGGTGAAGTGTGTCCTGCAGAATTTATTCTGATGTAAAATGTTCCTAACACTAGTTGGAAAAATTACCTTCTGATTTAAAAACAGAAGAAAAAAAACCAGTGATATAGAGAGACATTGGGAGAGCATGGAACAGACAAGTGTCTTTGCCAAGAACCAGCCTGAGCCTGAGTTACTGTTTGGACCAGGCCTGACAGGCCTAGTGAGATCAGCTCTTGTCAGGCACTGTAGTGTACTGCGTGCAGTGTGTGCCACCACCTTGCTCTTCTGATGCCAGGAGGACTTCGTAGCTTGTGTGCAATGCAGTTTGAATGGTTGGAGCTAGGCTGTGTGATACTGTGTCCAGAGTGGTGAATCAACCATGCTGGGGACTGTGGGATTGAGACAGTGGCTGCTGCCTTAGACAGGACATGGTGGATCAGTGTGTTGTTGTGTTTAACACACATCTTCAGCAGGTAGCTTTTTCCAAGGGCATGAACACTTGGATTGGCTCTTGAGAAAATTAATTGGTCTTTGACAGTGTCTTTTTCTGCACAGAATCTCACAAAAGCAGTTAATGCTGTTTCTGGACCCACAGTAGCCCTGAAAGTGATGGAGCTATGCATCTGCAAGAAACAGTTTGACCTTCTTGAACTATTTGTTTCAGGTCTAAGAAGCCTTTGTGTCCAAAGCAGGTTTTATCTCAACCCAGACCTGTCGTAACTTTGGTTTGATTGCAGAGCATTCCCAGGGATTCTATGCTTCTGCTTGCCATGGCTGTAGGTGGCTTTGGTACTGCGGTTGACAATCCAGTGAGCATCAGTGAAGGCATTGTTTCCATTCTGCTTTCATTCCTGTGGAAAAAACAAAACACTTGATTGGTTGTAATAGTGTAAAGCCTTTCAGGGTTTCTTGTCATGCCTTACTGGTGTCCAAAGGATTTGGACAAAATGAAAATGAAATCCGGCCCTCCAAAACAGGTCAAACATGCAACATAACCAGAAGAAGCCATAGTTCAAGGCAATCGAGTCCCCTACCTGTTCGAAAACTTGCTGCCTACACCTCCCTAATCTTTGTCAGTTTGATTTTTTTTTTTGTCTGCATCTAGCTTCTGACATAGTTTAAAGTATGCATTTTGCTAATGGTTGTTTGCTAAATTGTCAGGGTTTCCAAATGAATAATGGATATGGTTACATAACTTCATTTGTATAGTTCTGCAAATCTTTCAGAGTGCTTTCTACATGTAGATCCCTGTACTAATGTCTCATGTTTTCCTTTATGCTACATACTCAATAATGGCAGGTGAAAGGATGGGAAGAGTATTTGGGACAGAAATACACTGCCATAGAAATATTATATTGTGATTTAAAGTACTTATTTTTTTATATTAAGATTTTTTACTGTGTACAGTTTTTTCAAGTTTATTGAGCTTTGTAATTTTGGAGCTGATACAATTAATGTAGTGTATATGTTATAACATGACTTGAACAACACATGTTTTATTGAGCCACTTTTTTTTTTTTTTAAATATAAGATTAGTTAGGCTGCATGCTAGGTTTCTATAGAGATTATTTGGACTTTGCAATAAGGTGACCACTGTCCTTATTTGACAGATAAATATACTTTTATTTTATGTATTTCCCTGAGGGGGAAAGAATAAAGTTACTGTTTATTCCAGAAGCACATAAGTATTAATTATATGAGTATTAATTATAACTTCTGTATTTTTAGGCGCTCTTTTGAATTTTTAGACCTGTTGTTACAAGAGTGGCAAACACATTCATTGGAAAGGTATGTGCCAATATACTTTTTTCCCCCGAGAATAAACTGCTAATGTAATTTAGGACAGAAATTTTGTCATTGAATCCTTTAATGGGATTATGCTGTTGAGTGTTGGCCAACCTTTTTAGCATAGACAACCTTCCTAGCACAGAGGTCATGTGGCTCGTTCCAGTGCCAGGGGGTAGGAGAGCTGTATGCTGCATGTGAGCAGTGCATACTATGCTCTGTCTGAGTTTCACTAGCGTGTCCTGCGCAGCAGAGGCACAGGTAAGCATCTGTCTTTTCTCCTGGAAGGAGGAAATTTGTGTGTTTGCCATAAAAGAGGGGAAGTGGGACTCCCCTGGAGGACTTTTTCTGATAGTTTTCTGTAGTTTCTGCAGATAGATGGAAAAATAGTACATGCATTACCTCTGCAGGATGGTCAGTGTAAACACAAAGAGCAAAGAGGCTAAAGGGCATCCAGAGAAGTCTCTGAAGAGCTCATCCAGCTCCTTAGTCACATTTCAGTCACTCAGGGTGCTCCTGAGAAAGGGAGCAATGGGGAGATTACTTGATTTATGTCAGTGTGTATGTGTTTATTAAAAGAAAAATAGAACCACCACCCCACCCAAAAGAACCCAAAACAACAAACCTCCCACCCAAAAGATGTCTTGAATGAAGATCTATTTATCATCACAAATGTGGGTTGCTCTGATGGGTGCTGTGCTGTTCTTTGAGCATATATTCAGGTTTAGAACTCATATGCCTAAAGCTTTCAGAGCCAAATTTCCAGTAAGAAAAACTTACGGGTCTTAACTTTTCCTTTTTTCTCACCATTAATGTAGTAGCAAAAATAGTTTTTCCATTTCAGGAAAGTCTTAAAAATGCAGTTTTAAATAATTTTTCAAGTGTGATAGTTGGGTGTATATCTGAAAAGCAGATTGTAATTATTTTATAAGGGTGAAGCTGATCTAAACATTTGCAGAATATGCCATTTATGTCATCAGTGTGCTTAAGTTTGTTTAGTGCATATCTTAGAACTAGTATCTCAGTTGGTTTCTACTGGGAGAAATGTTAATTAAAGTGTAAACCTGCTACTTAAAATTTGGAGTAGCAAAATAGCATGAAGAATGTCTTTCTTTTAGGCATGCTGCTGTCTTGGTTGAAACCATCAAGAAGGGCATCCATGATGCTGATGCAGAAGCAAGAGTGGAGGCAAGAAAGTGAGTTTTGACTACATTTTGCTCTGAAAAATTGTGTTAGGTGGGCAATAGAAGGCTCTAATCAGAATTGAGCTGCTAACTGTGGCTGAAGAGGAGGACACGAGTTTGGTTGACAGTTGTTTTTTCTGTGCTCAGACTCCTGAATTAATACCTAGTTTCTTTTGCAAAAGACGTTCTGAAATTTGAGTCAGTCAATACTGTCATGCAGCCTTTGATGTTTCTACTGAAGTAAGAGTTACAGAGGTTAATGCTGCTGCATAATCATTCTCCTCCCTTCCCTCATTATTTGAATCTTTAAACAACTGCAGCACTGTGACTAGTCTGGAAAAGAATTCCTCTTGTTTCACTGCAGAATTGATAAGTGAATATGAGAAGCTCAGAGGATAGACTTAAGTTATTTTGGAAAGATAATTCAGTCAGTGTAGCTGGTTTCTTTCATGATTTGATGAACATTGTTGTATGTGTTACATATTTTTAGTCTGGGTTCCTTTCCCTCCCATTCATGGTTCATTCCGTAATCTTTGCTTCCTGGCTCCACAGTTTAAAGAAAATAAGGAGCAATTATATGTGGTTATTCTCTTCCTTTGCAGGGCTTATCTGGGTCTTAGAAATCACTTTCCTAGTGAAGCTGAGACTCTCTACAATTCTCTGGAGCCACCCTATCAAAGAAGCCTTCAGACCTACTTGAAGAATTCTGGCAGTATAGCATCTCTCCCTCAGTCAGACAGGTCATCCTCCAGCTCACAGGAGAGCCTCAAGTAAGAGTCACACAACTGTTTCTAAGCCAATAAGCAAATGCAAGCTGTTTCTCAAAAGCAAGTGATCCAGATTCTTGTGGTATACAGAAAAGCTGCAATTCTATTTTGTCAGTGCTAATTTTTCTTTATTAAAGAGTCTTTTATTGTTTTTTGCTGTATGACAGTATTAGCAAGGTGGAAAAATAAGGGCAGTCATTAATTGGATTTTAGTAGCTGTTCTATTCATGTACTTGTTACTTTACAGCCTCTATTAACACCAGAATATTTTCAAGATTCACACACTAATGTTCAGCATTCTGGTACAATGAATAAGTCTAGGAAAGGTATAATGGTGTTAGTCCTTTTGTATCCCTTTTCCCTGGCAAGCATGTGGAAGAGACATCAACAGAGAGATTCCTTCAGATTGGTGATTGTGGGTTTTTAACTGTTTTCACAGTACTGAGCATGTATTAGCAGTATTTTGCAGCTAAGCTAGTTACTAGAGGGTGGAGTTGCACTGCAGTCAATGGTGTGTTAAAATGCATAGACAATTTTGTGCTGAATAAATCAAAGTTTGCCTAGGTACCAATAGCAAAAGAAATCTGGGTTATTGGTAGAAATGTCATGTAGTAGTAGTAATAGTATGTGGTGATACTTTCCTTTAAATTCTGAAAAGCTTCTTCAAAGTATTTCAGCCTGTTAAGATTTCAATTCAGATGATTTGCTACCAAAGCCAGGGAACTTGTCTGCTCAGTTTTGACTTGAAAGCAAAGCAAAGATTATTTCTAGCATATTGGAACTTAATTTTTTCTCCATTTTTTTTTTCGGCTGCTGCCTTAAATACCAGAGGCTTACCTTATCTTTCCTCTGATACTTGTCATTAGAAAAAAGCATTTAAAAAATAACTGTCTGTAATTTAAGCTCTTGCTAGCACTTCATTTTCCACAAATGTTTATTCAAAGATTAAATACTCTTCTTTAAATTAATCGATATTCCCCATCTGAAAATCAAAGTGCTGTTAATGAGTTACTAGTAATCAACTGTTAAAAACTAAATTACAAGGAAATTAGAGTCTTAAAATACTCCTAAATCTGTAAGTGTTGCTTCCTATGTTGCAAGATATATTAGTGCTACAGTACAGAAAGTGAGGAATAAAATAAGAAATGAACAGAAGAGATGATGATACTGGAAATTCTTTAATTTTTAATTGATTTTTTAACTAATTTTGCATTCAGATGGATGGTATTTTCACCGTGGTCCCCAAAATCGTATTTCTGGCATTTAATATAGATGCTGAATCTTCTTGTATTGACTAACTTAGGAAATATAGGTATAGTTTTCCTAAAAGTCATATCCTCTATGGTTTTTGATCCTCTGAACTTACAGCTCTCACAGGTCCAAATGGGTCCAATGGGTCCAAAATGGTTTTAAAGAGGATGGTGGCATGGGAGAAATGTGGTGACTTGTGCCTACCTATATCAAATTGCCTAACTAAAACATGAATTGCAATAGATTGTGACAGTTGTCTGGGACCTCTGTTTGGAGCAAGTTGTAAGATGAGGATGCACTCAGGAGCTCTGCCTTGGCCTCCTCAACTTAGTTGCAGCAAAATAGCTTCAAGACACTGGTTTGTAGTGCCAGAAAAGCAGGTTTATTCATATTGCAATATGCAATGATGCAAATATATCATCTTCTGTGAGGAGCTAGGTAATGGTGGTGACCTCTGTATTGTTGTTGAGCAGCTGAACTAACAACTGGGATAAATGCACAGTATGAGGCATGTCTTTTTTTCTCTGCTTTTAGGTTTAAAATTAGAGGGGGATTATTTTTACTGAAGCTGAGCCTCTGACTCAGTTTGTAATTTGAGTATTGATGAAATATTAAGTATTTCAACAAACCTTCCCCATCAGCTGTTCAGCCACTGAATAAACTATCATGCTTTCTTGTGCTAGTCTTTCACTTTTCCCTGGTCCCTCCAACTGCCTTTTACGCTTCTGAACCAGGCTGAAGGATGAGGTTACAGTTAAACTTGTAGACAGAAAGATTTTGTTTCCACAACTACTTGTTTTTGTGGTAAAAAGGAAATGGAGAGAAAACAGAGAGGAAAAGACATGGGTTTTTTTCCTTTTACAAGTTGTGGGAGCCTCTACCATTCGAACAGGGTATTGCAGTCTGCTTGCTTGGAAGTTACAGCATTTTGCTTTTTTATCCATAACTCAGTTCTTGAGACATGTAGGACTGTAGGAGGATTATGAGTTGTATGCCTGTTTTCCGTGTTACTGCAGACACCACTTTACATAATTTGTTCCATAAATCAAGCTTTTTTGGGTAGTTTTTGCTATTTTTGTTTGATGGCTGGTTTATGAGTTTAACCCTGTGGTTAAAACCTTGTAGTGTCCACCTTAAATGTTTCTGTGACCAAGTATGGAATGCCTGAACTTTGTTAATAAGGTGTACCTGTTGTTAACCAAAAGATTAGTGCTTTGTAATGAAGGTGTGATTTTATAAAATACAAAAGATAATTTTGTTTTTCTTATCATTGTGTTTAAAGTATTTGTCTAAAATATGCTCTGAAGGTTGAAGGGAAGGAAAGAACAGAAGAGTATTTTTATCTCTCTTTTATTGTTGACTTTTGGATCTGATAGATGAGTCTTACTTATTGAGTTTATTGACTTCTTTCAGTCGACCTCTGTCTTCTAAATGGTCTGCAGCCAGCCCAGGAAGTTTTGCAGGCAGAGGTAAGGTGCTAGCAATATAGTGCAGTGCACAGTAATTGTTCTTCATGGTCTTTGAATTAAAAGTTCTAAATGCAGCTTAAAATTTTACTGCCCAAGTTAAATAATGGCAAGTGTCATTACCAACTGTACCTCGCGCTACGGTTGCCTTGCATTTGCTTCACAGATTTATATAGTTTCAGTCATTGCAAGCATAAGACATAATTCGTGATTTAATTGATCATCCATCCTAGAATTTTGTCAAGGAACAGTCACTCTCAAAGAAACAAAACATTATTATTTGGTCTGTTCAAGATTATTAGGCTGACAGCAATTGGAAATGAAAGACTCATTGTCCCTTTCATCTGTTTCCATGTAGCTGTTGCTCTTCATTAAAAAAGGCAAACCACATATTTGTAACTTAAAGAGTTTAATTTTGAGTTTTCAGAATTTAATAACTTCGATCTCTTTTCACATAATGTCTTAGTAACACTTGCTGAGTAAATCATTGAGCTGCTTTTTACAAATGGCCTGTAATGGAGAGTGCTGTTTTCTGGGTACTGAAACTGTTAAGGGGAGACAAGTTTTGAAGACTTAAAACAGTGGTTAAAAGTAACTGAAGTGACTAGTTAAAAATCAGTAAATAATAGGAAGTTAATATGAAAATATAGATTGGACCCTAAAGCAATTCAGGGTATATGCATTCAGCTTGCCTGTGGCTTTATCTTAGCTGAAATGTGGCAATATTTTCCTCCTTCAGTATCTCAGGGGGTGCCGTTCTTTTCTTTACATTTGTGAAGCATTCAGTAATGTAATAAATCACATAAATGTTCAGAATTATGCATTTGTGCTAGGGTGAGAACACATAGTTTGTATCAAATAATGCTAAAATTTCATGCTGAACGAAGATAAATGCTACTGTAAGACAAACATACGCGTTTCATGGCAACACTAGGTCTAGTTTGCTTGTATGCTGCCATAGTAGAAAATGCTGACCTTATAATTAATTTTATTAATTATCAGCTAATTCTCGGGGATTTGTTGCTAGTTTCAGGTGGCAGCAAGAGTGTTCCGAGTCCAGGGACGCTGCAGAGGTCCCGAAGTGACATTGATGTCAACGCCGCGGCGGGCGCGAAGG